TCTCTGGGATATGCTTAGCCTCGTTTACCGAGTCGCTTCACTACATATGGTGCTCGAAGGCAATTCTGGTTTGCGATTCCTGTACCATAATGTGTTTCAGCGACCATTTATAACAAGGCACTTGAAAGAACGAGGCTAGATATATTCCACCAGTTGAGTCATATGAAACGGTTACACCATTCTTTTCTGGAGAGCATGCGCAATAAATACTATCGGAGTAGACTGGAATAACCAGGTGCTAGAGGTTGCCATTCGATTGAAAATTCTGGCGTATTTCGCCGAACATAACTGATTTGAAATTAAAGTAAAAACAGAAGTGATTGAATGTAAATCAGTTTATATACATTCATATTACATCTTTATTTGCATTATCATTTGTGTGAATTTCTAAGTCCCAAATATTAGTGATTCAGTTCCTTTAAATATATACTGCAGATCTGTGCCTATATAATATAATACATACATACTATAGATTGACACCTATCTATTATAATAAATATATAATGGGTTTCATATATGGGAATCAGTCATGAATGTGATTCACTGTAACCATGAAGAGGGCATCTAAATGCTTTTGACATTGCAATATATATGTTATTGATATAAGTAATGTTTATTGGCTGATAACTCTGTTTTTATTTCATCTTTAATGAGCTCAGGTAAGCAAGATCAGAAAAGAGCATTATCAAATCATATAGCACATTCACAGCAAAACCTAAACATAATCTAAAATAAAACCACCACTTTGAAATTGACTATACATTGTATATGAATTACAACCTTTTCATTATATTATATAAACCTGCAGTGGTTCAGTAAGTAAGGTGCAGTATGACTAGCCAGGATGTCCCAGGTTCAATTCCTGTATTAGCAGAGGAAGTTCCTCAGGATTTTCCAGCCTGATGTCCCCTTGTCAGTGGTGCAGGATGGAGGGCCTAGTTGTTTGGATAGGATGAAAGACACAGGTCCTGTCTACATTTTAGTGCATGTAAAAGAACCCTTGATAGTTAGAATTCGATGAAGAGTAGATGCAAATGCTGCTGTACGGGCAAAATCCACATATAGCACACTTCATGACAGTTGGTGCAGAAAAGTAGGATGTTACACTGCACCATTTTTCATTTAAAAAATAAGCTATACTATGTTGTATTTCTGACGTAATTGTTATATTTTATTCATCATGTGGATTAAGTACCAAAGTGAAAGACAGAGAGAGATAGATGGGGTTTAACGTCCAGTCGACACAAACTAGGTCATTTTGGGACTAACATGGTTCAATTTTATTTCAATTATTCTCTTGAGCGTAGGGATCTTTAGCAGTGAGAGGAAACCGGAGGACCCGGAGAAAACCCACGAGGTTGGACAGGCGACCCTACTCCTTGTCACGTACAACCGGGGATTCGAAACCATGCCAATTGACTCAATGGCAGACCGTATGATACAGCGCGTGCTACCTAACCATTCCAACCCCCCGGATTAAGTACCAATCATATCTACATGTTTGTATATAGTGTAGAGTATCATACAATTTTATCGAGAGTGATTTAGATAATTGGGTAAAATGTTTTCTGGGGTCAACAAGGTATATTCTTTGAATGAATATAACTCAATTAATTATGAATGGATTTAAATAAAATTTATGTTTGATGTATCAAAACAAAAAACATTCAAATACCATTTTAATGTGTTCACTTTATGTGTTCTTCAAAATCATGTTTAAACACACACAACAAAAAGATCTACAAAATTTATGAGCAGATCAAATTACATTTGAAAGCTAGATATGAATTACTAAATGTTGTGAGTCTACATTGACTTATGTCAATATATATTTCATGTAGTTGCCTAGCATTACATTTAACATTATGTTCAGACAGTGTTTTTAAGTTTTAAAATGTCATCATCAATAAATCATGTTGAGACATATGTCCTGATTGTATATTTGTGTAGCTAAGTAAAATATAAAATTTATAATGATGAATAGCTTACGTAATTATCAAACTATTTTTCTTGGTATCTAGTGCATGTTAAGACAAAATGATAGGATTTATACATGTAAATGCTTGAATTTGAAATTCAAATTTTTTTAATTTTTTTTTTGTAAACGTAAATATTATATAAATCTTTATTTAATTACTTTATCGGTCTGAAATCATATCAATTTCGATTGTTACAAAATTTGTGACAAAAATCGGTTTCAATTTTAATGACGAAGCAAATTTGAATAGAAGTTCAGAGTCCAAAACTGCTACCGACAGAATATTACACAGTGTTCTTATGATATACATGTATGATAAGTAACATTTGAAATGTGAAAATAATTGAAATACCAGATCTACTGGGAAGGTCGTTTGCGTTGACAAGCAACGCAATATCTTGACATCTGCAAAAAAAGTGCAGTTGATTTATTCTGTTTTATCTGAATTCAGTTATTTTTCTTTACATACACTCATGTTATAAAAAACATTTGCACTATTCATGTTCAATCATGTTTAGAGAGAGAGAGAGAGAGAAATATGGTTTAACATCCATTCGATGTGGAAGGAAACTGGAGGACCTGGAGAAAACCCACGAGGTTGGCCAGGCAACCCTACTCTTTGTCACATACGACTGGTTAATTGAAACCACGCCAATTGACTCAATGATAGACCTTATGATGCTGCATGCACATGCTAACCATTCAACTATTCCCTCCCCCCCCCCCCACCTCCATGTTAAGAGATCTCTACACTAAACAAGATTTGTCCAGATCAAGGGTATTTCAGTACCTTTCTTTCTTAAAATCTTTTTGCTTGGAATATTTCAAGACTGATTGCATTTGCTATTATGATGGCAGTTCAGATAAAAATATCTATAGGGCAGTTTTAATTAGAAATCTCATTAACCATCCCAATGAAAATGAATGATGTTTATATCTATCGTTAACCTCTATAGAAATAAGAAAACTATTTCAAGATGCTGATCGTCATTTGTATTTTTCGGACAATATCTTAGTGTTCTCTGCTTAATCCACACTACAATATACTCCAACTGATTATTTAACATTTAATTAAGAAAACGAGACCAAAATATCAAAATTTTTACCCAATGGCGCTGGCTTGTTCATATCGTCTGAAGAGGGTGCTGAATTTTTTCAATTCATCATATCTTTATAAATACTAAACAGAATTTAACTATTTTTGAACTGTTAATGTTATACTTTTTACACATTCAACTTTAACAACTGTGTAGTTTGCAGCAGACTCAAAATTATCCATATGATGATCAGCAGTTTCAACTAATGTGTTCAATATTTTCTATATGTGGTATACTATATAGTTAGTCATTCAGACAGTTTCAACTCTGTACATCATATTCATATAAAATTACAGGAATGGTGCACAGGGTAGAGGCAAGAATTTATGTTACAATATATTGTTATGCTGTAAATGTAAGATAATTGCAGACCCAGAAAACACATGGAAAGATAGGTTGCCAGGTAACAAAACATACACCCACAGGAGTTGTCGCATACTTTTCCATTTGTCATAAATGAAAACATTTACAACACACTAAAATCTGATTACCAGTAATAACCCATTTGGCTTCTAGTTCTGCACTATTCTAACATTTAGCATACAAAACATTTAATATCAATTACAATAATCATCAGAAATCATTGAAAATCAATAGACTTCTTCATCTCATGGCCTTAAACACTGTGTATAAAGTTGGATATTAACATTAGCCTCTAGTGCGTCCACAAGCAATTGTTGACGCCAGTCTGACGGACAGGGGCGACGACAATGTACAACCACATTTTAACGTGGGCATTTAAAAACTCTAAACACATTGAGAATTGTATACAAAAATCACAATCAGTCCTAACTGTTAGTAAAAAAACGGCAAGAAAAAACAAGAAATTCCACTTGAAGATTTATTGTATACTGTAAAACAAGAAATCCTTGTCAACATTAAACGAGATGATAAGCTTTATATTGAAATGAAATGGGGTTTAATGTCCTACTGTTCTGCTCCTATACTGGGCTAATGAAGACGTGCATACGCCATACAGTGTGCTATGAGGGAAATTTTGCCCGGGCAGCAGCACTATTGCCTACTCTTATATCGAATTCCAACTGCCAAGGGATCTTTTACGTGCATTCCCATGTATACACCGGACCTCGGTTTTTCGTTTCATCCGAAGGACTAGACAGCTGTCCTTGTCAGGCCCTCCGTTCTGCACCACTGACAAGGGAAACCACGTCTGAAAATTGGGATGAACTTTCTCGGCCAATGCAGGGATCGAACACCCGACCTCCAGGCTAGCGAGCCAGTGACTTAACCATCCAGCCACCGTGGCTCCTAATAAGCTTTATAATGACACATTAAATTAAATATTTTGTTCTTTTGTTAGAATACAGAAACAGATGAACCATTTCCTTCAGATTACCAAATGAATGGAGGTTACAGTCATTAAATATATTGTTCTGTGGATTTGGATTTCAAAGTGTATGCGTGGTTCCCCCTTGGTGCAGGATGGGGGAACTGGCAAGGGACAATGTATAGTCATTCGAATGGGACTAAAAAAAACGTGGTCCCATGAAGACATGGTTGGTGTGCACATAAAAGAACCTTTGGCAGTTGGAATATGATATAAGAGTAGGCTGTAGTACCGCTGTCTTGGCAAAATTTCCCTTATAGCACACTGTATGGCGTACATGTATGTCCATCTTAATTAGCCCGGTAGGTGCAGGGCCCTTATTCACGAAAACTTAACTGAGATAAAATCCAAATTTTAGTAATTTGATTGGATAATATTAGATTGATTTTAGTGCTTAGCCAATCAAAATTGAGGTATCTACTAAAATTTGGTTTTTATCTTAAGTTAAAATTTCGTGAATCAGGGCCCAGAACAGTAGGACGTTAAACCACACTTCATTTCATTTTTGTCTAATGCTGATGACTTTGGTAACTATTCATGTTCTTCAGTACTGGAGTTGGTCAAGAACAAATCTCACCTGTTTGTATTCTGGTATTAGATGTTCGATGTGTGGAGCTGGTAATATGAGGTACAGGTGAGTCATGAACTGATAAAGCTGATTTAGCTTGAAAATCTAATAATTCATGTTGTTTCTGTTTTAATTCTTTATTTTCTTTCTGAAAAAAAAATAATCCAACAATTTCATATCAGTAGTTAAGACACCACCATGCAGAGCAGTGCATTCATTAGATGTACTAATATAGAATTGTGATCACAACAAAATATGGCACAAGCTCACTTATTAAGGAAAATTACAGCCATCATAGTTATTTTTTTATAGTCTTTTGATTTCATCTATTTCTAACCATTCATTTCTTCTGTTTTCAAACATACATTTCATCTGTTTCTAAATATGCATTTAATCTGTTTTTAAACACGAATTTCATCTGCATTACATCAACATAACTAACCTCCTTTTCTTCTAGTAATATTCTGTATTCTCTTGATATATTATTTATCTGTATTTCAGCTGACTCAGCCTTTTCTTCTAACTCTCTGTTTACTCTCTTTAACTTTTCATTCTGAAAAATACAAAAATATATCTAAAGGCAAATGTCATTTCTGATGAGAAAGTATTAAAGTTGCAATGGATATTGCAGTGACAGATTGTATTACAGTGATGTGAATATTGAAAAGTTTTGATGGATACTGCAGTAATGTGCCTACTGAGTAGTTTTGATGGATACTGCAGTAATGTGCCTATTGAGTACCGTAGTTTTGGTTGAAACTCAGTGATCTGCCAACTGAGTAGTTTTTACGGATACTGCAGTGATGTACAGACTGAGTAGTTTTGATGGATATTGCAGTGACAACTGAGTAGTTTAGGTGGATACTGCAGTGTGCCAGTGATGTAACAGATGAGTAGCTGCATTAATGTGCCTACTGAGTAGTTTTGATGGATACTGCAGTAATGTGCCTGCTGAGTATTTTTGATGGATACTGCAGTAATGTGCCTATTGAGTACCGTAGTTTTGGTCGATACTCAGTGATCTGCCAACTGAGTAGATTTTATGGATACTGCAGTGATGTACAGACTGAGTAGTTTTGATGGATATTGCAGTGACAACTGAGTAGTTTAGGTGGATACTGCAGTGTGCCAGTGATGTAACCGATGAGTAGCTGAAACAGATATTCCAGTGGCATCACAACTGTTTAGCTATAATTGCAGCTGCAATCGATACTGCAGTGACACAACTACTGAGCAGTTACAATGTATGATCAATATTGCAGTGACATGTGGTAACTTAAGGGTCATAATCCATGTGATCACAATACACTCAATTATATAGGTTTAATCCCTAGGGACAATAACACCATAATGCTTGCATTCTTAAAACGTCAATTGAAAAAGTGGATAAATTTCTAGATTTTGGGGAATCTTCCTTTGGTCTCTTGGAATGAAAAAGAGTCTGTCAGAACTCAACACAGAAGAGTATTCGCCTCAGATTAAAATTGACGGATTTTCTGGCTGATAGATACAAATGACAATAATATGAGGACCTGATGCCCTGATTTACATTCAAGAAATTAAAATTAATTCAATTTATTTTAAACATTTACATCATGCACATACAAATTATATCAAACACATCAAAATTACAACATATGCGATTTAGTGTTTAGTGCATAGTAATATTCATTGATCGGATGCACTTTAAATCAAGATTTTACATGTGTGTGTATTTGAGACACGTGTTGTTTGTATTGTGCCTGAACGCTCCCTATATTTCATTCACTAACTTTTAAACATTTAAATTTTGTAGTTTTCCATGGTAATAGTGGGTATCTAAAACCTATTCATGTTCAATATTTGACTTTCTGAATGTCAATTGCGCATTATCTAATATCTGTTCAAGATATGATAATTAGAAAACGGAACTTTTGTTATTTATACACTGATTAACATAACAAAAGGGTATTACCAGTATTCTGCACAACACATTGAAAAAATGTATAGAATATTAATGAATAGAAATGTGAATCAGTAACAATGACGATTTAAAAGTGATATAAAAGTGATATCAAAAAGGCTTTCTAATTCTGTAATATATTCTTGTCCGATTTGAATGGATTATATCCCTCTCTTTCAATTTCATTTTTTTTTATCTTATAAAATTATTTTTCTCATGATTTCTTAGTACCATCTTCACTATGTTGCATAACTTCTGTATAAGTAAACAAAATTTTGTGAAATGATCAATGCATATTTTTATATGTGGACACTTTAAATTGACATGAAATTTTTTCACGCTCATGAGCCATAGTAACCTATTGCTTTTCAACACATTTTTGATAACAGAAATTGCAGATAATAAATACTGAAAGCTTTCTGGTCACTGTTGGATAACACAAGCCACTCGCTTGAGGTAGCAGTCAAAAACAAGTTTGTCCTTTCATTTTGGACTAGATAATTTCATGTCCTCCTACACAAGATGTTAACAAAACATTCAACACTATTCATTCTGTTTCATGAAAGTTTTTTTTACATTATTAAATCCTAAAGAACATCCTGTTCTAATAATACATACATTAAACATACATTATGCAAGAGCTAAATCTGTCTATTGCAGGTCTTTCTTTAGGCCGGTTAATTAGACATTAATTAACCTTTCCAGACCATAATCAACTCTAGATGGCATCGCTAGTCTGCGATCTTTAGTGGATTATGAGCCGATTTACTGCATAATTCTCCTTCTCGATTTAATGGTTAAATGGATAGTCGAGACTATGCTGTTTATCGTACTAACTTTAGTAATGATGATCTCTAACTCAATATCATCCAAAATCTTCAACATTGAAAACACGATTTATTTGTCAAATTAAATCAACATTCATGTTGTGATCTTACCGGAAAAAGATGGGCTTTTGATATCCAATATTTAAGACAAAATAAACATTTTACCATTGGTACACGAATCGTGTACCATAATGCGCTTCAGCCCCAGTTGTATCAAGAGACTCGAGGGACGAGGCTAGACACATTGCACCAAATCAAACGGCATATGTAGACTGGAATAACCAGACGCTAGAAATTTGCACTCGCTTGAGACTGCTGGCTTATTTCGCCGAACATAACTGATTTGAAATTGGAGTAAAAACGGAAACCATTGAATGTAAATCAGTTTATATACATTCATACTACAGTATTATATGCGTTGGGACCCACTTTTGTCAATTTCTAGGTCTCAAATGTTAGCGATTTAGCTCCTTTAATATTCGGCCATTGCAGTCTTACAATTTGTTTACAAAACAATCAACACTTACCTCTTGTCTAATTGCATTATTTAACGTATCGGCAGTTTGAAGTTTTTCTCTGGCAAGTTGTAACTCTGTGGTAGGATCTGGAAATAGTAAAAGAACAGAATTTTGAATATTTTGCAAATGTTTCTTAACCTGGACTGTTTTTTCCTTTTTCTTTTTAAAAAAATAAAACAATACCAAGTCTGGTATATATACATGTATTTTGCCTTTTTGAGGAAATAAAATTTGTAATGCAGTTAAAATATTTAAATTTTGTGCCATGTAAATTGACAAACATTTATTGCTGGCCAAACATTAACCTAAAGCTCTGCTTTACACAATTTAATTGAAAATTTATGGCTGTACATTTGGTAAGAAACTTGCAAGAAGAGCCAGTCGTAAATGAGAGGTTAGTCTAGCATAGGTAATTTCAGGACTAGCACATGATTCAATTTTATTTCAATAATTTGCTTGAGCGTAGGGGTCTTTAGCATTGGGAGGAAACCGAAGGGCCTGAAGAAAACCCATGAGGTTGCACAGGCAACCCTACTCCTTGTCAATTACAACCAGGGAATAGAAAACACGCCAGTTGACTCAAAGACAGACCTAATGATACAGTGCACACATGCTAACCATTCGGCCATCTAACCCCCTAAGTAGGTTGTAGCGATTTCTTTGAGTGGCATTTAGTAATTGAACCGTATCCCCTTCAAAATATTGACAGAATGAAAATTACTGATTTATTACCAGGTACTGTTTCGACGATGGTACTCTCAGGTAAAAGGTTTACTTGTTATTCCATAATAAATAGTTATTATTATAATGCCTAATCAGGGCTGCTTACAGGTGAAAATCAGCTTAGATTACCTGGTTATTTAAAGCAACTTTACCGATGAATTTATGACAAGGTATGCATCACTTTAGAACTTTAATCTTACTTCACCCCAACATGCCCTTCATTGTTTATATCTATATACATGTATTGTGCAATGTATGTTTAGTTAATCTAATCACAATTTCACACCTGTGTTTTTGTCCGCTATCACATCAGTGGAGGAAGTAAAATAAACCTATTTCATTCTGCACCCAAAAACACCTGTAGATCATTATCATCTTGGCTTCACTCAAGAAACCTTCCTAATTGGCCAGTTGCCTTAACTCTCTTTGATGTAATTAATTAGACATGGTAATTTTAACTGTTTTTTATATCATATAATAATATATCCTTGGATAATTGGATTACCCACATTTGTTAAAGTAAAGATGCATTATGTAAATTTAGATGAAGAGCTGACACTTCTCGCTATAAGTTGATTATGGGCTCAGCATGTGAATAAATGTCTAATTAATGAATAACATAACATTTGAGGCCTAACAAAAGATGTGCATTAGACAGATTTAGCTCTTACATAATGCATATTTAACTAACCACTGTAGAAGTCTATCCAAAGAAATTTGTCTTGCCATACAAAATTGAAATGACATTTTGTAGAAAATGAAAGTAAAAGTTGACTATAATATCCACTGTAATATATGGTGCATACAAATCATTTTGTATTTACAGTAATGGAAGGTTTCCGGCTTGCAAAGAACACTTGAATCATGTTACTGGTCATATATTGTTCTTGCAAACACAAGCATTGAGTAGAAAATATGGTTTGTAAACTAATCTGTGCATTATTTTCAAGTCAGCAACTGGGAATTACCATAAGATATCACATAATTTGAACACAGTCTACAATGTGCTCTTATCGATCGATTCGCTACAAAATTTATTTCACAATATTTGCATATTACAAACGAAATAGATCAGGCGATAATATAAAAATCCACTGCTTGATTTTAACAAAAATAAACAATAGGATGTTGACTACCGGTATATAAAATTGAATAGAGGGCGAGAGAAAGATAGGTTGCCAGGCAACGAAACATACACCCACAGCAGCTAAATAGTCTGGTCAGTCAACAAGAGTAGTAGGATATTTTTATTTTTGTTTGTAATGAAACAATTATAATACACTTAAATCTAATTAAGAGCAACAACTCATTAAGTAATTATCAGAAAATAATCAGAATTTGTTTGACCCATGCTAACGTTCTATAGTATACAAAACATTTAATATCAAGAATTTAGCTGTTCAAGTTATCAAAAATCATTGAAAATCAATATACTTGTTCGTCTCAAGACCTTAAACTCTGTGTATCAATCTAAGGTCAATCGAAATGGTTATATATAAAATCAATCAGATGAAAACTATGGTCTCTAAAGCATCCACAAGGACCATAACTCTGGCAGTAATTATCGGAAATCATTGAAAATCAGTTGACTTCTTCATCTCATGACCTTAAAAACTGTGTATAAATTTAAAGTCAATAGGATATTAACTTTAGCCTCTAGAGCGTCCACAAGATTTTTCAAAGTGATCAAAAGGTTTCTTCGTCTGATGACCTTAAACACTGTGTATAAATTTAATGTCAATCGGATATTTACTTTAGCCTCTAGAGCGTCCGCAAGTAATTCTGGATGCCGGACCGAAGGACAGACGGACAGACGGGGGCAACGACAATATATAACCACATTTCAATGTGGGGCGTATAACATCCACTAGACACAAATTAGGCCATTTTTATTTCAATAATTCACTTGCACCCAAGGTCTTTAATAGTGGCAGGAAATTGCAGGTGGACCCAGAGAAAACCCATAAGGTTGGGCACGCAACCCTACTCCTTGTCAAATACAAGCTTGGGAATGAGACCTCACTACTTAACTCAATGACAGATCTCATGATCTAAAGCTTATGCGTTAGACCCCAAAAATTACATAAATCTATAAAGTTTTCTAATCTGAAGAATAAGCTTACCCTGTCAGGCACTTCTATACCGGTATATCTAAACAAACTAAGGGTGTCGGGTGTAAAACCTAAAATGTTTTACAGTTGATAGATTTTTGTCCTAGGTTTATGATCAACTATCCAGAAGAAACTATCAGGCACATGACAGTGTTATTGCACAAGTATACCCAAAGTATATTATACTAAGACAGTGAAGTAAAATGCATGATTGATCATGCACGACACATCGCATCTTCAGTTTACTTGATAATCTCATGATCTTTATAATTGACATCATACAGTATTTGAATGTATACTAAAGCATGAATATACATGTATGGGTATACATGTATATGCTTAAATTTCCATCCTAGCTTATTTTACCTGTTTTTTTTTAAAGAATTTGTAAAAAATTGAAATATGAACTTTATTAGATCTATTATCTGTGCATTGGGTGGTGGTTAGTGGATTGTGATGTGGTGGGATATTTTAGTGGTCTCTGTCCTTTCATATTTGACAAATACATCTACAACAATGCAGTGATTAAAGTATTCTGGTCTTTTAAGTCTATAAATATTGCTTAAATTAGTGTTAACTTCCTTCATTAGGTCTTGACAACCTGCTTAAACTGTAGAAATGCCCCAGTTGTGTATAGGACACCTGTCAGAGGCCCCCCACCCCCTCTAATATTTGTTACTTAGTGTAATAATCTTCCTGGGGGCCAGCGGCAGCCCCAAAACTCAATTTTAGCTCAGAACACTGGCTGCCCCTCCCCCCTGCCAAAAAGAATTTCATTTAGACAGGTTTATATAATATTGTACAGATATTCCTCATTTGTGTACAAATCTAAATCCCCAAGAGCAAATAAATTCTACAACTCGTATCAGGCTCTAACATGTTGACTTCAGTTGCGGTTAGCACTTACATGTATTTATAAATTAAATCAAATATGACAGACAAATTACATATTTTAAGAAAAAAAAAAAATTAAAATGAATGTTCACTTTAATCAATATTTTAATAGTAAACTATATTATTTAATAATTTAAAAAGATAAAACATCTTTTTTTTTACAATACCAACCTTAGTATTGAAACAAGTTTTTCTTATAAGATATAAGGCGACATTAATCCTATGCGATATCATTGTAGCTTTAAGGTTGATGTATGCCACGCAGACAAACGGAATACTTCAATATCTAAAGTCTTGATAGGAGACTGTTGACAAACCTGTGTAAACATTGGCCTTCAATGTAGGCAGGTAAAATGAATATGAAGCATTAAATCAAGTACTTAGTACACAATGTGACAGTCGTGGTTATAAATTTGTCCAATAACTTTGTTGGCAAAGGAGTGGAGACGACCATTGTTTTACCTGAGAGAGTAAACCACCAAGCCACGCTAAAATTTACTGATAAGAGACCCGGGCCTTAGCTTTTGTTCCATAAAGCGAGACACGTGAGAATTATAAGTGTAAGATAACGAATAGATATTGCCTTCTCTACTGTTGTAAAGTTAAAATCCTTCATAAGGTTTGAGTAATCTTCTAGAATATTCAGTTAAAGTTTTGAATTTCTTTCAACCATTCAAATGTTTAACCCCACATCCTGTTATAATCTACCTTAAAGGGAATATCCCCCCCTCCCCTATTTCAAATCACATTCAAGATATTTTCATGTCATTGAAATAAAATGAAATCGGGTTTAACGTCCTACTGTTCAGCTCCTACTGCGCAAGGGGATCACGGTGGCTAAGTGGGTAAGATGCTGGCTTGCTTGTCTGGAGGTCGGGTGTTCGATCCCTGCATTGGCCGAGAAAGTTCATCCAGATTTTCCGGCAGGGTTCCCTCTTGTCAGTGATGCAGGACGGAGGGTCTGACAAGGACAGCTGTCTAGTCGTTCGAATGGGACTAAAAAAGCGAGGTCCTGTGTACACATTGGCGTGCACGTAAAAGATCCCTTGACAGTTGGAATTCGATATAAGAGTAGGCTGTAATGCCGCTGTCCGGGCAAAATTTCCCTCATAGCACACTGCATAGTGTATGCACGTCCCCATTAGCCCAGTTCTGAGCAAAACAGTAGGACGTTAAACCCCATTTCATTTCATTTCCTACTGGGCTAATGAAGACAAGCATACACCATACATTGTGCTATGCGAGAAATTATGCCCGGGCAGCGGCACTATTACCTATTCTTATATCGAATTCCAACTGCCAAGGGATCTTTTACGTGGACACCAATGTTTACATGGGATATCAGTTTTTCATCCCAT